AAAAAGTAAAGAAAAAAAAGAAAATTGAAAAGTTAATTTTAGTTAGCTTTTTTAGAGATTGATGAACGATTTGTTAAAATTTCAAATATAACAACACTTTAAATAGTATTAATATTACAATGATGTGCTGAAGATAATTATATCAAACTTTAGCTATTATAGTTTAATTACTCAAAAATTTTAATTCATCACTATTTTGTTTATAAGAATTTTGAAAAATTCTTTTTTTTCTCAAATTCTTTTTACAAAAGAATTTCATATATGCTAAAAAATTTCTTTAATTATTAGCTAACACTTAATTGCATGGAAAGTGATAAGGTATTGATTTTATGATAAATGATAAGCACTTAACTTTCTCCCAAATCTTTCTTACAAAAGAATTTCATGCATTTTAAAATGACTAGTTAACACGTGATTGTATGAGAAGTGATAAACTCTTAGCTAACAGTTGATTGTAACAAGAACTCGAATATCAATCAAATTTTTACAAAGAAACTGTCCTTCGGATTCCATATACTTTCTTTCAAGAGCAAATTTGATGTCACTTTAAAAAAAACAAAAACAAAAAACCATACGAAATGTTACAGACGTTACGTAATACTGAAATTATTTAAAATTAATTAAATATAAGCTAAGTAAATTGGGTGAGTATCGGAAATTAAAGTTTTCATCAATTCTGCAGGTTTGAATTGGAAAAGCAAAAGTTACTTACGTGAAAATTGAACGTTCTCTTCACGTCGAATAGGTGGTCCAAGACGTAACCGATTTAAATATTTCGCAAGTGCAAATAAGCCAAATATTGTTTTTATATTACGACCCTCGTAAATATCCACCGTATCCGGAACTAAAACCTGAAATTAGCATAATAAATGGTAATAATTACTGATTCCAAATAATAATTAATTGCAGCTATTAGATTATTGATATCCTAAAAATTTGTTATATTATCATTTGAAAATATCATTAGCTTAATCTTTTTTTTTGAAATTAAAAAAAGTTTCAGTTTTAAATCAAAAAAAAAGAAAAAAAAAAGCGAAAAAATGATTGCAAATTAAACCTCAGGAAAATGAATACTTCTTATCGCATCTTTCCATAAATTGATGTTATCAGTATGACGATAGCATACCTGACCATCCTTATCAAAACGACTCTAAAATATACATACATTATCCTTAAAATAATTAAATGTAGAAATCAAAAATTATGTATTAAAAGAAAAAAAAATCAATCGATAAATTGTATACTTCATTATTAGTGTTTCATTGTTTAATTATTTCCAAATTACTAACTTGATCAATGTCAAAAATTTTTGATAATGGTACAATATGTGGCGCAAATGAATGTGCAATTTGCGCTAACAATACACCATTGGATAAATTTTGCTCAAATTCTGCTTCATTTACTATATCATCCAAATGAAGATATTCCTTTAACCAACTGTAAATTATTAAAATTAATTAAATTTTAAATCATTTAAAACTATTTGAAATAATTAACGATTAATTAAAAGTAACGAACCAAAAGAAAAGAGGCATGCAGTACAGATTTGACCGAGCATGAGTGTAATTTAAAAATCTATCAGAAATTTTTTTGTTTAAATAATCCTTTTTGATAACGTATTTCAATAAAATTGCTAATTTTTAAATTTTGAAATTTTCGAAATATGTCAATTTTTCAAAAATGGAAAATTACAACATTAACTATTAAATGATGAATTGCAATTATCTAATATAATTAAATGATAATTGCATATTTTTTACCAAAATTAATTCGAAAACATTCCATTTATGTTTAATTAAATCAAAAAATTTTGTAAGACATATTAAACTTTTCAAATTTATCCAAATTATTACCTTCTTTTATTTTTCATTCATTTGAAAATTTTATCCAAAAGTTTTGTTAAAATTATTAAAATTTAAAACTAACAATTAAAAAAAAAGAAATATCTTACTTTCTTACTTCAGTTAATCGTAACAAATATTCATACACTTTTTCATTCTCTCTTTTTTCATCCAATTCATTGATTGTATACGATGAATTAATATCTTTCGATTGAATATTTGATGAGTTACGTTTTTTATCAGTAATCTGATAAGATCGTCGATCGTTGTTTTGATCTGTTACAACAATTTTATCATTATTAACAATTTTGCAAACATCATTATCAATAATTGTAGGAGTAGTAGTAGTAGTAGTTGTAGTAGTTGTTGTTGTTGCAGTATTAGCTTGACTAATCAATAATGAATCATTATCATTGCTATTTTCATTATAATTTAATTGAATTATCATCCGTTTATTTCTTTCAGTAGTAGTAGTAGCAGTAATAATAGTTGTTGTTGTTGTAGCATTACTAATTGTAGTAGTAGTTACTGTTGTTGTTGCTGTTGTTGTCGTTGTTGTTGTTGTTGTTGTTGGAGTAATCATTGAATTGCCAATAATTTTATCCATTTTGCTAAACGAATTACTAAAATAATTATTATAAAATTGAGGACTTATATATATAAATGTAAATTAGCATCAATGAAGTAAGAAATTACAACGAATTACAAAATTTTTTAAAATTAAATTTAAAAAAAGTGCAACGAATGTTTAACATTTTTTTACATCCTTTTTTTCCTTATTTTTTAAAAAAAATTGAACAATTGAAATTTTTTTTTCTTTTAAGAAATGAAATTATTTGAAAAGGAAAAGAAAAAAATATTCAAAATTCATTCTTTTCATTAATTACAAATTACTATCAAACATCTTTTAGATGTTACTCATTAACAATTTACCCGAATAAAATCAAAACTGTAAATTCGAAATTTTGCTATTTCATAAGTAAAAAAAGAAAAACGGATCACGATTTGCTTCAGGAATCGGTTCCACACACACATATATATATATATATATATATGCATATTTATATGTATATGACTGGAATTTATTCGGAACTCATTTCATACACAATTGTAATTTGTTCCGGATTTGTTTCATTCACAATAATGATTAATTAATTTGCCATCCAAAATTTCGATTTCATTTATCATCTTTTTATCTCATAATTCATTTACTAACAATTTTATGATAATTTCATCAAATAAAAAAAATTGTAATTCAGTAAAATAAAAAAATTTTTCGCTAAAATTATAAATAAAACAAAAAAAAAGGAAAAAAAGTATTTCGAACAAATTGAGGAAAAAAAAGAAGAATGAAAAAGTAGAAAAACTTAAATATACATATATATATATATATATATATTAAAAAGTAGAGAAGAATGAAATCAAAAAACTAAAAAGAATAAGACAAGAATGGAATAATCATTCATTTTTAAAAATGAAGCAAAGAAATATTTGCATGATAAGATAAGCTTATAAAATAACAAAACATTATCCAAATTGATAAAATGATTTCATCAATGATTCATATAATGATAAATGAGAATGTTAAAATTCTTATCAATTGAACTTATCGTTTGTCATCTTTTCGATTTTCGTTTTTTTTTTTCTTTTTACTTTTCGCAACAGTGATAAACGAAGAAATGAACTAAAATTTAAAAAAAAAAATTCTCTTTTTTTTTGATCCATGAAAAGACGAAGTGATGTCGTTTGAAAATGTTTCTGTCATTCGTCTAATTTGGCTAACTCATCCATCTTTTCGTTTATTTAGAAAGAGAGAGAGAGAGAGAGAGAGAGAGAGAGAGAGAGAGAGAGAGAGAGAGAGAAAGAAA